CACAGCTCACAGCAACCTTCCTTCCTTCCTCACTCCCTCCCTCTCCCTATGTCACCCTCAGTAGAGTCCTGTGGCATCACAGCTCACAGCAACCTCAAACTCTTGGGCTTAAGCAAGTCTCATGTCTCAGCCTCCCAAGTAGCTGGTGCTATAGGCGCCCGCCACAATGCCTGGCTATTTTTTTGTTGCACTTGTCATTGATGTTTAGCTGGCCCAGGGCTGGGTTTGAACCCGGCACCCTCGGTGCGTGTGGTTGGTGCCATAACCACTGTGCTGCAGGCGCTGCCCAGCACCTTTATTTCTAATAGCCAAAAACTAATAGCAATTCAATGCCCTTTTGTGGGTTAATGATTTCAGGCCTGTTAGTCCATGCATACTGTGAAATACAGCAATAAAAAGGAGTGAATTATATGAGTCTCTAGAGACTTACACTGAGTGAAAAGAGATAATCCCATAAGAGTACTTACTGGGTACTTCCATTTATATGCTCAAAAAGTCAAAATTGTAGAGATAGTGAACAAATTAGTGGTTGCTGAGGGATTAGGGATAGTGTTCTAGAGGGAAGGCGCAAAGGAACCTTGCAGTGGTGACCAGTTCTGTATTTTGAATGTGGTGGTCACTCCCACCTATACGTGTGATAAAATTGCAGAACTGTGCAAACACAGAGACAAGTGAGTGCATCTAAAGCTGGCGGAATCTGTGTGTGGGCTGGACTGAGGTCGGTTTCTTTGATAATGTGCTTTAGTTATGCAGTTTCCCTTTTGTGGGAAACTGGTGAAAGAGTACATAGGATCCCTGTACATTTGTGGGGGCAACTTCCTATGAATCTGTATAATTATTTAAAAATGAAAAGTTAGGATTCCCTCCCCCAAAAAAGTCCAGTGGCAGGACTTCTACAGAACAAGAGAAGTAGAGATTTATGCTTTAATAAATGATGGGAAAGTTAAGATAAAGTATCTCACGTTAATTAGAAAACTCTTCAAACTCTGTGTTCCTATCTGAGCTAAGATAGATTTTAAGGTTTTCTACTAGGATAACAACATGAAATAAAAGTATGCTTTGAAGCTAAACAAGCAAGAAAAGAATTTGTTTATTTTGCTTCATTTTAGAAAGAAGAAGTAAACGAATGTGGTGAAAGTATTGACAGAAACAATTTGAAACGGTCGCAAAGCCACCTCCCTTACTTTACTCCTAAACCACCTCCAGATAGTGCAGTTATCAAAGCTGGATACTGTGTAAAGCAAGGAGCAGTGGTGAGTAGCTTAACAAAACGTGAAATAATGAAAAATGAATATATACCAGCAAACTCCCAATTATTTGCTATATTTTATGAAAGACCAACAAAAGTGAGAAGACCAGCCTTGAGAAAAGAGTCAAGAGAGAACATAGGGGTTATTCTGTGGATAACTCAGTGCTATTATTTCTTTGGTCTGCAGGCAGCCAGGAAAGTTAATGCTTATTATCACTGGCCTTCGATCTAAATGAGCTTTCCTAACAGTTTGAATTTTATTCCAGAAAGATTTTCTATCGATCCCCACCCTTCCTCTGGAGTAGGTCAAGTAAAGAGAGCTCTAGTGGAGAGGTCAAGGGCCAGGGGTGGGAGGAAGAGTGGGGTTGGGAAGGACCCTTCCTTGATTTGGGGTTGGGCTGACCTCAACAGGAAGTTCTATGACTTTGGGCTGCCTACGTAACCTCTCAGGCTCTCAGTTTCTTTTTAAAGAAACTAGCTTTCATCTTTTATTATACAAATCCTGCTGTCCCAGAATTTTTTCTTTTTCTTTTTCTTTTTGTAAGATGTCAATAAGAGAGATATAACACAGTCCCTGGCGCTTAGTGACAGCTATTGCAGGTTAGCCCACATATTCCCACACACTCAGCTCCATGCTGGCTGAGGAATTTCTCTAGGAGCAAGTAAATTTATCAAAGTGAAGTTATTCTTTCTGTGTGAACTAAATCTTTAAAATTTCATGAGAAAATAAATTTTAAAGTTTGAAAAAAAATAAGTAAAGAAATATAGGAAAAGCTCTATAAGTTGATCACCCAAGGGACTGTAACAAACTGGTCAATATAGGGAGGTGGTCAGCATAGGGAACTAGGCCTACTGTACTGATTGGTACATGTGGTGCTTGTCTGTGAAAAGAGTAGGTCAACTAAAGGAGGTGGTCAGTGTAGGGAGGTGATCACCTGTGGAGCGTCTGCTGTACTTAAAACTCTTCTGGCTGTTTGACTTCTCATCACCGACTGACAACTCTAATTTCCTTAGGTCAGTCAGGGAAAAGTTCTTTCAGCCCTGTTTGACCTTCTTTAGGCTAAAGGAAATGAAGGCAGCAGTGGCTGGGGGTTTCTCGCTATGGGATATACCAGGAGAGTCAGAGTTGCTTTATTAAATATTGCTTTACTATTAGATACAAAGTACTTGCTAGGCGAATTCATATATTTTACAGATAGAGAAACTTGATGTGGTTTATTAACATTTCCTTTGTTTTGTTCTTAGGCGGATGGGGAGGAAGGGGAAGTGCACTGTTAAAAAACTGTTAGAGCATTAAACATATGAAGTCATGTCATACAATTCATATAATAAAAGCTGAAAGCAAGCCACCAAAACTTGGGTTAGGAATTCAAGGCCTAGGTGGCACAAGGGTGAGGTTTCATTATCTCTTCACGGAGGGAGACTTCTGTCAGTGCTTGACCTTTCTCATTGTGGGTTCATATCTGAATAATTCAGTGGTGGTTAACATTTGACGTGGTTAGAAACAAAAGTCTTGTGTCTGTGTTCATCTCTGATAGATGAAAAACTGGAAGAGAAGATATTTTCAGTTGGATGAAAACACAATAGGCTACTTCAAATCGGAACTGGTATGTTGCTGTGTCATTTATGTCAGTTTAAAAATGTTTAAGAAGTATTACAGGGGTGGCACCTGTGGCTCAGGGAGTAGAGCGCCGGCCCCGTATGCTGAGGGTGGTGGGTTCAAGCCCAGCCCCAGCCAAACTGCAGCAAAAAAAAAAAAAAAGAAGTGTTACATTGTAGTGATTACACAAATAATTTTTTGTTACTCTTATTTGTTTTCAGGGTAATTCTAGCTTTGAGAGGTACTTATAGTTTATTTTATTGTGATGCTTTTGGTTAATGATATATTTCTTAATTATATCTTTAAAAGATTCTATCTTCAAAGTAGCACCTTGAAAAATCTAAAAATATTAAATCTCCCTTCCTACCCCATAGTCTATTGTAGTTTCCACTAAAGGGACATTGGAGGAGCTGGTGTATAGAAATTAAGTCTCTAAAAGTCAATATTCAACTCTCTGTGTATACTGCCTGCTCTTGACATTTTCTTTTTATTTTTTTTTTCTTTTCTTTTTTTTTTTTTTTTGAGACAGAGTCTCACTCTCACCCTGGATAGAGTGCCATGGTATTACAGCCCACAGCAACCTCAAACTCTTGGGTTCAAGCAATCCTCCTGCCTTAGTCTCCCGAGTAGCTGGGACTACAGGTGCCTGCCACAATGCCGACTAGTTTTTAAATTTTGTAGTAAAGATGGGATCTCACTCTTTCAGGCTGGTCTCCAACTCCTGAGCTCAGCACACCCACCTTGGCCTCCCAGAGTTCTAGGATTATAGGCATGACCCACCATGACTGGCCCTTTTTTAAAATTTTTTTTGAGGCAGAATCTTGTTCTCACCCTGATTAGAGTGCCTTGCATCAGCCTAGTTTAACCGGGTTCAACCAAGCCTCTGGCTCAGCCTCCCACAGTTCTAGGATTATAGACATGAGTCACTGTGCTCAGCCTTGACATTTCCTTTTCCTATTTCAGGTTGACTTAAGATCACTAGGATGGTTTTGTCCTATCTGAAAATAGAATCAAAGATTTAAATTCCTCCTTTCCAGGCCAGGTGTGGTGGCTCACGCCTGTAATCCTAGCACTCTGGGAGGCCAAGTCTGTGGATCACTTGAATTTAGGAGACCAGCCTGAGCAAGAGTGAGACCCCATCTCTACTAAAAATAGAAAAATTAGCCATGTGATGTGGTAGGTGATGTAGTCCCAGCTACTCAAGAGGCTAAAGCAACAGGATCCCTTGAGTGCAAGAGTTTGAAGTTGCTGTGAGCTATGATGCCATGGTACTCTAGTACTGTCTAGTACATGGTACTGTCTCCAAAAAAGAAAGAAAGAAAGAAAGAAATTTCCTCATTCCCTTGTTTGAATACCATCCTTATTTAAAATACTGTCAGGTAACCTGAGGTCCTGTAATAAATTGCTGGATAAATTGAATGTAGTTTTATACTTCAGACATCTGTCCTACCTCTTGTTGTATGGGATCTTTGAGAAGAGAACCATATCTATTACCTGAATGAAGGCACCAGAATACTGTTGTCCGCTAGAACATTCTGCATGATGGAAATGTTTCATTCATAGCTGCATTGTTTAATACCACTACCACGTGGCTGCTAAGTGCTAGAAATGTGGTTCATATAACTGAGGGGCTGACTTTACTTCCTTTTAAAACTAAAACTGATTTTATTCCATTTTCACTAATTTAAATTTATGTAGTTACATGTAGCTAGTGGCTACTATTGGCCAGTGGAACACTAGAGAATAAAACGGAACACTAGAGAATATAGAGGATAAAGATACTCTCGTACCCTTTTATGGACATCGGAACTGGCACTTAATAGATGATAAGAAGTGTTTTTGAATGAATGAAAATGGCGTAGCATAGCAAGAATAGCTATTTTGACGTGGGGCCTTTCTCAGACTTAAGTTAAAGAGCCTCAACTAGAAGTAATAGTTTCATGGTTCAAGAAGTACCAACCTTAGTGTTTCAGAAGGCTACGCTTATGCTTATCTAGCAGGCTAGCTTGTTTGTTTGTTTATTTTTGTGACAGAGACTCAAGCTGTCGTCCTGGGTAGAATGCCATGGCATCATAGCTCACAGCAACCTCTTCTTCCCTCAGTTTTTCTGTGTTTAGTAGAGATGGGGTCTGGCTCTTGCTCAGGCTGGTCTCAAACTTGTGAGCTCAAGCAATCCAAATACCTCAGCCACTCCAGAGTGCTAGGATTACAGGTGTGAGCCATTGTGCCCAGCCAGGCTAATTTATTTTTATTTTTATTTTTTTTTTTTGAGACAGAGCCTCAAGCTGTCCCCCTGGGTAGAGTGCCGTGGCATTACAGCTCACAGCAACCTCCAACTCCTGGGCTTAAGCGAGTCTCCTGCCTCCGCCTCCCAAGTAGCTGGGACTACAGGCGCCCGCCACAACGCCCGGCTATTTTTTGGTTGCAGCCGTCATTGTTGTTTGGCGGGTCCGGGCTGGGGATTTGAACCCGCCACCTTAGGTGTACGTGGCTGGCGCCTTAGCCGGTTGAGCTATAGGCGCCGAGCTTAATTTATTTTTATTAATGCTAATTCTCTTGGGAAAAGTCATTTATGCGCTAGCCATTCACTGAGCTCTCCATGGTCCTGTGCACTGTTCTGGGAACTTAAGAGAACAGTTAACAATTTGTCTCTGGCCTTCACAAGTTCAGTTTTACCAGGAAAGTTGACATGTGCTCCATCACCAACAGTACTTTTAATGAGTCAAGAACTGTTTTAGAAATATTTACTAACTTTTGAAAACTGCATGCTAGGTATTATGCTATAAAAGAAAAAAGGGAAGGAAGTATTGTAGGAGATAGGGAAGTTACACTCTGTAATTAATTTATCATTACTGACCTTTATCAATACCAAGATGCACAGCCCTCCCAGTTCTCCCTTTTTCAATATTTCTGAAATCTTCGGAGTATGTCTTGGCGTAGCTAAAGGTGAGGGGCAGCAGGAAGCAGCTGCTGGACTCGAGTTATTGCTGCTTGGATGTGCACAGCACCTTTAGGTAAGATGCAGAAGACACCAGCATCAACATGTGCAGAGTGCTAGCAGCTTGGAAGAGAATCTTAGGGACACAGGGAACATTCTTGAGAAATGCTGCATCACCAGCGCTCTTGGCATAGAGGATGGCATCAAGTGAAAAACATGGGCATTGATGGCTCCAAGCCAACAAGTGATTCAGAAGAGCTGGAATCTGAACATGAAGTTTTTAAAACTGCAACCAGTTTATTTTGTTTATTTGTTTATTTTTTATATGCACTCAAGAACAACATGATAAAAAATATTAAAAGTATAAATGGGCTCTCTTATAATACCTTTTTATCATGGAAAAGTTGTAAACATCAAGTAGGTAGAACAGTACACAGACCCCCATAACTCATCATCTAGATTTCATAATTATTGACATGTGGCTCAGCTTGGCTTGTTTCTTCAGTTTACCACCCACTTCCCATTTCCTATTTTGAGACAAAAACAGATTTTTCATTATTTCTTCTGTATGTATTTAATATTTTAGGATGTATCTCTAACAGAGAATTTAAAAGTTTTAAAAAATAGAGACCCGGCGGCACCCATAGCTCAATGGGTAGGGTGCCAGCCACCTACGTCAAGGCTGGTGGGTTCTAACCCGGCCCAGGCCAGCTAAATAACAGTAAAAACTGCAACAAAAAATAGCCAGGCGTTGTGGTGGGCACCTGTAGTCCCAACTACTTGGGAGGCTGAGGCAAGAGAATTGCTTAAGCCCAAGTGTTTGAGGTAGAGCTGTGATGCCACGACACTCTACTGAGGGTGACATGGTGAGACTCTCTCTCAAAAATAAATAAATGTAGACACTTTACTGAGGGTGACATGGTGAGACTCTCTCTCAAAAATAAATAAATGTAGACCAGATATGGTGGCTCATTCCTATAATCCTGGAAGGGGTTGATGAGAGACTGAGGTGGGAGGATTGCTTGAGGAGTTTAAGACCAGCCTGGGTCACATAACAAGACCCTGTCTCTGCCAAAAAATTTTTAAAACATTACAAGTGTGGTGGCGGGTGCCTATAGTCCCAGTTACTTGGGAGGTGAAGGCAGGAAGATCACCTGAGCCCAAGAGTTTGAGACTGCAGTGAGCTATAATTATTCCTGAGTGCCAGTGAGACCCCATCTCTAAAGTGATAGAACATATATTAGTGACAAAACATTAATATTCCTCAGACGTGAGGAGTCTTAAAAACTGAAGGAATTCTTCTTCATCCTCTCTGCCCTCTTCTCTGTCCATCTCAAATAATTTTGAGACCCAGATTTATCAGGTGGAACAAAGCAAGGTGGGTAGCCATAGTGGGAGCCAGGTGTGGGTAGTCAGAGCCTCTACAGGGTGAAGAGGCTTAGCCTTGCATAGAGGAGGGAAAGGAGGGCATGCCATGGGGAAGGGGTGTTGGCAGAGATGGTTGCACATATCCTTAGTGATAAAATAGGGAGATACACTAAGGATGGTAAAATAGGGAGATGCACTAAGGATGATAAAATAGGGAGATGCACTAAGGATGGTAAAATAGGGAGATGCACTAAGGATGATAAAATAGGGAGATGCACTAAGGATGGTAAAATAGGGAGACGCACCAAGGATGGTAAAATAGGGAGA